GAAGAATTGAAAACACTTTACTTAGAGGATTCCTTAATGAAATCGAAGGTGGGTAGTGGATTTTTTAATTTTCAGAAATTAAATGGGGTTTTTTTTTGAGTTTTCTAAACTATAACAAATAGTTGTAATTAACCATTGTATTCTGATACAGATTATTATGATTTTATAATTTACTATGAAGAACCGGAATGTAAACTCTTTAAAACTGCAAGTAAAATAAAATCCAACTAATGATGAAAAATAGAATATATAATTTCTGTAAAAATTTAAAATATTAGATGAATAGCTTTAGCAAAAATAAATCGACAACCTTAGCAGTATACAAATATATCGTAGAAGCCCTAAAATAATAAACTATACGCAGTAGGCATTTTATTAGTCATGAGCAGAGCATACGAAAAAGTTCAATTCAATATTCTATTTGAAGGATTGAATGCAATTAGAATCCGGTTTGAAGCTTACGAATGGCTTAAGTCATATCTAACAGGTAGGGAACAAATAGTAGAACTAGGATTCTTTAACAAAAATACACAGGAGATACAAAAAATCTGTTCAAACAAGAAAGATATTAAAGCCTCTATTCCTCAAGGCAGCGTAATTGGGTGCCTATTGTTAATAATTTATATAAAAGAGCTACCCAAAACAATAAACGGACCATGTGTCTTATTTGCGGATGACATCCCTTTGCTCACTTCATGTACAACTAATGTAAATATTTGTGAAAATCTTCACCAAACACTCACAAAAACAGAATATGGATGAACAAACACAACCTGGAAATAAATTTCTCAAAAACTAAATTAATAGCTTTTCTATCCACACCAAAGTTTAATAATATTCGGACACTTTAACTACATAACATAACCATAGACACCCATATCAATTAGAACATAAAAAAGGTGAGAGCAAAAATATCAATGCCCTACGCGATGTAAAAAAAAAGCCACAGATCAACCTACCGCGCTTGTCATTTATTACGCCTACGCATATTCTTGGCTCAGTTATGACGTAACTTTGTGGGGCAATAGTACAGACGCCCCCGCTTTTTTTACTCAGCAAAAGAAATTAATAAGAATCTTGTTTAATATACAAAATACCGACACATGTAAACCATATTTTCAAGAACTCTAAAGTCCTAACATTACCATGCAACTTGGAATTATGTAAACTTGTCCGTATTTACGGACACTACACCAAGAGCGATGATATTCAATCCAAAATGACCTTAAGACACAGAAGTAGATTAAACCTTCCTACTTCACGATTAGCAATTCACTCTTCTGGCTCATTTGTCATATCAATAAAAGTACATAATAAGCTACCAAATAAAATTAAAAATGAAAATAAATTCAATAGGTACCTTTGTTTGTTACTACAGTATCATAAATATCATAAAGTATCATAGAATATCTAAATATAAATTTGAAACCTAAAACAACTAAGTAACTAAAATTACCCACATAATAATTACGAACTATTACAAACACATATAGAAATGAAATTACTTAATATGGCTTTAAATATTTTTTTAAATAAATATCAACCTAATTACACGACAAAGATAAAAAAAAGTGACTTGCCTATTTGCATTTAATAATATTACCATATAATTAATAACTACGTAAAAAAATAATATATACTAGTAAACTTATTTTGTGATGACATTGTGTTATAATAAATTCATTAAATTATCAACAACTAATATTATATATACATGCGCTTTTCATTTAAATATAATATTTAATTCAATTAATTTATATTGATTCTATTTATTGCTCATTAAGTTACCTAAGACCAAAGGCAGATAATGTTGTATTAAGATAAAACTTTGAAAACTAGCATAATTAAGCAGCTCCCCCTCTCTGCTGATAGAGCTCTGCCCGACAGGACATATATGTATGGACTATGGACATAACTGTTACCTATTTTTAAGCCTACCACCTGTAAATTTACATTATGGAATGCAACAAATTAAATTAAAATTCCTCTAAAATGATTTTTTTAAGGAATGAAACTGGGTTTTCTAAGAAAGACATAAAAAAAAGCAATTATTACGTAAATTATCAACCTACGGATAATGCACTATGGGGTCAAAATAGTTGCAAAGGACTTCCACTATGACCTCTTAAAAGGTTCCGGTCTAATTAAAAATAAGCCTGTACATGTATGTATGTAAGATAGTTGGAATGGATATGTAGATATTCCCGTTTTCTACCCCCATTTCTTCGCTTATCTTTCTTAGTTATATTTACTTTGGAACTTTTATTTAATCAATCACTTATTTCTACACCACCCCAGGGTAAACTGGCAGAGGATGCCCATGGCATTAAGTAAGCCAAAATAAACTATAATTATGTTCATCGAAAAGCTATCGACCATTAGTAGTCTGAGTTGCCACCTCATATTATGCACCGTAACCCGGCAACGCTTCTCTAATCATATACCTGTGGATAGTGCTGAATCAACATGGGCATCGCTGCCTCGCATTTACATAATTTGTAATTGATACCGGGTGGGTACCGTCAGCTGAAACATTCGACTAAACTATTTATTACTAACGCTTTTACTATTTTTTTAGGTCGTTTTAATTTCGTCGGACGTGTCACATGGCAGACAGCATGCGTCTTGCGTATGTGATAGTATATGTAACATGTAATGCGCTGTGGCGATGTTTTCTTTCATCAGCTATCCTTTTATGTTCATTATGTCTACAAAAAAAAAAGTATATCTGTATTTATATCAGTTGTCTAGTACCCATAGTACAAGCTCTGCATAGTTTGGGACTAGATGGCGTTGTGTGTATGTGGTAGAATATTATATTATATTATTTTATTATAATTCGACACCTGCCAGAGATGACGGAAGTTTTGTTGTTGAATTTGTTACTCAAACATGCTTAAACAATTGAACGGATTTGGATAAAGTTTGTATTAAATTTCGATTACAGTCGTAAATACCACAAAGGTTCCTTTTAATTTCGGAAAAATCAATTAGCGAAATCGAAATACACGCTATCAAAGTTTCAGCCAAAACAATTTAACTGATTAGTACGTAATACAACTTTATGAAAAGATTAATTTATGTAACTAAATTATCTCAGAGCAAAATTTTTTTCTGCTGGCCATACCTAACGGGTTTACTTACACGACCCTTAAGTTGCACTTCCAAGTTTCTCGATTTAATATCAGCTAAATTATAACTTGACGGCGTGCGGTTTTAGTCGGTTCGAGTCCGACATGCCACCGATAGATGGTATCCGAGGGGATTTCCGCACAGAAAAAAAAAACAAAGGAGGAGTACTCCGTGTACTCCAGACAAGCATTACCAGAAAACAGCTCCATTGATCGAAACTGATTATTTTTATTAAGCCTGCCTCATTCACAATCTCTAACCTATTCCAAAGAATGTTCCAAATTCTCACACACTACAACATTGTAAGCTCGTAATATCATTAGATGCCCACAGAAGCTACAAATGCCCAGACACATCATAAGATTCACGTATGAGTCCTTTTCCGTACCAACGTTTAGAGTTTGGAATAACCCCACTCTGCATTCTCTATCGTAAATATCATGGAGAGTGCACTGAGAAATTGGTCGGACTTGTACTGGCCCCCAACTTTCTGCCATCGTTCTACACAGCAAAATTTTCATCCCCATCACTTGGATAATTGGTGCTCCACCACTGTGCGCTTATCAAGACAATTTTTGCCTCTTGCGGAACAAGTTATCGTCTGCGGTATTTCCGGACCGATACGACCTTCAAACCGTTGCAACGGGTTTGTGACTCCTGACTTAAGACGTTCATGGGCAGTGATAGTCACTCCATCAGTTGACCCATCTTCTCGTCTGCACTCTCTTCTATAAGGAAAAAAACAGTGGCACTCCGGGAGTGCCGACAGAAGTGAAAACTTATATACAGAGGTTTCGGTAACGGTAACAGCACCAGTTCAATTGCTTTTCCAGTTCTCAAAAAATGCCAAAAAATAACAATGTCGCTAGTTCAATGTTTTTTTCCCATAAAATACATTAATTTGTTTGTTGTTCAAAAATGCCCAACGTGTATGTGTAGTAATAATAACAATGAGAATGAAGATTTTTTACTAGACTATACTGTTCAGTAGTGATGCAACGGATCTCTGTTTCTGTTTCCGCAAGTGCGGAAGTTCCGCGCGCTTTTCAACATTCGTTTCTGCTTCTGTTTCCGCTACTTTTATAACGGAGATACAATCGGAAGTTTACGACGGCTGAGAGTTACGCATGCGCGGCGCTAGGCGCGTGCGAGTCGCTGGACGGTTGAGCGCGGTTAAATTCACATAAATACCGTAATCTTTTGCCATTAGTGCGCCAATATTTGTCGGTACCCCCCACCAGCGTCGCCAGTGAGCAATTATTAAGCGGAGCTGGTCTTATATACGAAGAACACCGGAACAGATTGTTAGGTGCAAAAGCGGCCAAATTACTTTTCATAAAATACAAATTACCACTACTTAATTTTGAATATTAATAAAATGTTCAGTTGCAAAGTTGCAATATTGTTTTCTATAGTAGATTTCTAATATATCTATTTCTAATCTACATTTGGTGTATTTGATACTTAATAAAGAAATATATTTGTAAATTTGTTTTTTTTTTCAAATTATTTACGTTTCCGCTAAAATTGACTTTTGACATCTGTTTCCGTTTCTGGTTCCGCTAAGACACTTCCGTTGCATCACTACTGTTCAGGTACTTGACGCCGCGGTTAATGTTCGGCACAGAATAGATCTAGTTCTATCATTTCATTTCATCGAGTTAGAGAGGTGGCTTTAAGTGAGGTTACCGGAGATGGAACCCCCTCTAATATTTGGCGACAGATAAAACACCGACTACGAGCTTACCCTTGAATTTCTGGTGTCTAAGGGCGGCGGTAGTCTGACAAAAGTCAAAACAGGACTACTGTCTATCTTTGTTCGTTTTTCCTTTGTATCTTTTGTTTACGTTATGTGTTCTTTGTTGCAGTGGTTACGGGTTGCACCGATGGGATCGGCAAGCAGTACGCCTTGGAGGTAATCATTAATTTATTTTATACTATTGTCTTCTTCCTCTCTTTCCGATGATTAGGATTACCGAGTTCACTAATACAATGCGGATGGGAGTAGAGAGGATGACATACTTGAAACCAGTGGTATTTACCATCATAAATGCCGTGTGCCAAAAAAATTGTGAAGGTAGTTAGATAGTTGTTGTTGGGTTGTTGAGCCATGCTTCGGCACGAATGGGCCGGCTCCACCGGAGTGATACCACGGCCTCACAGAAAACCGGTGTTAAGCAATTCTTTTGTTGCCTTTCACTGAGTGAGTGAGGTTACCGGAGCCCAAATCCCAACGCACTTGTGACGAGTTGCAGGTGTCCATGGGCGGCGGTAGTTGCTTACCATTAGGTGACCCGTCTGCTTGTTTGCCCCCTTATACTATAAAAAAATCCCACACTTGGACTATCGTATGTAATATTAGAATCTAATCTCCTTGTAGTAATCGATCCTAGTAGGAGAATTGAAAACAGTAATAAAAATAGTATCCCATGAAGTTTAGCAACCATTTAATTGAAGCAATTATTTCAATTTGCAATCAGTAGCTGCGTAGTCAAACCTTTGACTTTTCACGCTAAACGGTTCCAATTCGATTCGGTCACTCACCTGTGACTTTTAAAATTGATGTATTAAAATTAGTTATCGGTTAACCGATGAAGGAAAATAACATTAGGAAACATGCACGTCGAGGTATTTTTCCATAATGTTCTCGAAGGTTTGTGAAGTCTGCAATATCAACTCGGCTAGCGTTATCTACTCTATGGACCTTGCATAGTGGAGGAACCGTAAAATCGATTCTTGAATATTTAAAACCAGGGTAGTTCATGGAACAAAACAATGATATTAAATAAACTGAAAACGCAAAAAATGAATCTTGCTCTTGTTGACTCAGACGACGTAGGTATATATATATATATATATATATTCACTGAACTGCTTTAAAAACAATAATATCTTACAATTAACATTCATAGTATTCTACTATTTGCTTAACATGTGTGAATATATATTATAAAAATTCAACGTTAAGTATGTATAAATTATTAAATTTTAGTTGCATTAAATCCACAATGTCTCTATTAGACATTTAAATAAAATTAAATAAACCGACTTAGTTTGTATAATACTCACTGAATTATTTAATCCGTCTATGTGGATTAGTTGATTTTGAAAAGTTGTGTATTTACTAATCCTCGTGAGAAATTTCAATGCACAATGAGAAAGTGATGGAACTAATTGTTACGAAGTATGTCGCTTTAGCTTTGAGAAGATAAATAGTCAATTATAATTACATATTTACTACACAGCCTTAAATAGTTTACTGCTGGACATAGGCCTCTCCTTAGGAAGAAGGTTTTGGCTTCTATACCCCGCTGACCAGACAGGTTTGTATAGGGTTTGTGTCAAGTTTTCCTTCTCTTTGCAGTGGTGTTGTCCTGCGTTGTTTTTTCCCTTAGTCGGCTCTTACGAAACCCACGGGATGAATAGGGGTGGCGACATTCCGTATTCTTGATCCGTCACAACACGGCCTTTGAATTACTTAGCAAAAAAAATATCTTATCTCTTCGTCAAAATAAGGAAGGGAAAAGAGCAACAACTATCTAATTTTATTAATTGTTGTGGTAGATACCCGACTTAAGTAAGAGTCAACAGGAAAATCATTAATTTTCATAGATATACCAACTCGAAATCCATTACAATATTAATAATTTATCCTCAAGGGGAGCGTCTATCCCAAGACAAGATACAGCCAAGTCATTTATCATCTTGCAGAGGGTGCATGGTTCTGACTAAAACGGTACATAAAGCTATTTTCTAGTGAAGCCCTTTCTTTTCCGGATAGATATTTTATCTAGCACTTTCCGTACGTAGCTGTGAGATCGAGAGTTGATTGGAACTGAATTGCGACCGAACTTTTATTACGAGAATTGGCCTTCTGATGTTTACCCGTGACGAATATTTGACCTGCCCTTTTGGAAAATTTAAGCGATTTCCCAAATTTTTAAATGCAATGCCACAATGTAATAATGTAAATATGAAATTACCTAAATTTCATCCTTTTCAAGTAATACTCAGAGTTGATTTCCGCCTGTGTCTGTCTTAGATTTACATGGCTTTTTGTCGATAGTTATAATTGAGGTACGTGATTTGTTTGAGTTTAATTGCAGAATGGGCTCTTGTTTGGTCAATTTAACCTTTAATAAAAATATATTCACACATCTTGCACACGGTCGTATGATTCCAAACTAGGCAGAGCCTGTACTATGGCAACCAGACTACTGATAAACATACTTAAATATATCTAAATACATACATATTATAAATAAATTACACCCAGACACAGAACACGTAATCATGCTCATCACACAATTATGTATCCTGAGTGGGAATCGATCCCACAACCTCTAGCTTAGCAGTCAAGACCAGTCCAACAGGGCAGTCAGTTTGAGGAAAAAAATAATATAGGGAATATAATAAATTGGTTGCGTTGGAGGGAATTTAGGTGTGTTAAAGAATAACATGTAACAAAGAAATAAAATTAATTTTTAATGTTTTAGACTTGGTGTTGTTAAGTCAATTCGTTTACGAGGAAAAAAAAATCTTTATTACTTTAATTAAAATCAAACCTCAAATGTGCTGTTTAATCGCTATTGCGATACAAATACTCATATTTCTTTTTCTTTTCGTGATTCACCATATTTATCCAATCCATAATTATCGCAATTCCCAGGCGCTGTCGAAGTCGCATGTGTTACCCCCCTGTATCGCGCGATGGACCCGGTACCCGCACGGTGAATCCATGGAACGCTATGAAATAATAACGCTAATCCGGCAACGCGTTTGTGACTCCTGAAAAAAGGTCTTATTGTTGAAGTGTTTTATTAACAATCATATGTTGTTACAGTTGGCTGCCCGTGGCTGTGATATCGTCCTAGTCAGTCGTTCTATGGATAAATTAAAAGCGACTGCTCAGTTAATCGGTAAGTAACTATTGATTTAAAAAGAAAGAAAATTGGGACAAACTGCTTTTATAAACCTGTGCGCCAATGAGCGAAAATCTTGGCTATCACGAAACCAGTACTACGCGCTGTAGAAAATGCGTACTCTCATAAACTTTGACTAAAATTTCTAGACATATATTATTTTTGGCAAATTTAATTTAATTTTAAACTACTAGACGCTGTCAGAAGTTACTGAACATATATTATTAGAAGATCCTAGGCCTGTCGCCGATTTTATTCTTACGCCATTCTTTGTTTGGAATTTACTGGAATTCTTAAGAGTAGGATGAAAATCTTAAATAGGCGTGATAGTTAGAAGACAAACAACACCTTTTCATTTCTAATATGTATACATTGTTCATTATGCCAAGCATGTTCGCTCCATTGGTCAATAATTAAATTGAAGTTGTTACGTTGTTACAGAAACCACATACAAAGTGTCAACAAAGATAATTCAAGCAGATTTCGGCGAAGGCGAGGAAATTTACGAGAAAATCGAGAAAGAAATCGAAGGTCTCGAAATTGGTACCTTAGTGAACAATGTGGGCATATCGTACGTATACCCGGAGTACTTCCTCGACTTGCCGGATTGGTAAGTACTTTTAATAAAACGGTTGAAAGGCTCCACAAAAGGCTGGTGAATAGCCAACAAAGGCGTGGGAGAATATTCTGTAAGAGATCTGTAAATCGGTACTTAACGTGACAAAGAGCTGCTTTAATATGTTAACATAATAAGCAACCACTTTAAAGATTTCTTTAGCGTTCTAACTTGCTAAAAAGTCGAAAAAAAATATATATTCCTGAAAAGGTAGTGTTTGAACTAGAATACTTTATAACTCCCGCTGCCCACAGACACCTGCAACTCAAGAGTCAAAAGTGCGTTGCCGTTCTTTGAGACCCTTCCCCTAGAATCGGAAGGGTAGAATCGGGAGGAAAGGGGTGGAGCAGTAACAAGAGAAATGCTTAGCACCCGTTTGCTGTGAGATCATGGTATCACTCCGGTCAAGCTTCCAATTGTGCCGAAGCATGGCTCTTTCACGAAAAAATTGTTCTTAAACTTATTAAAATTGTTGCTGCCAATATTACATCATCATCATCGACAGCCTTTAATATTCCACTGCTGGACATAGGCCTCTCCTTAGACGGGAGGTTACTGGCCTACTATACAACGCTGGCTAGACACGTTGGCATAGGGTTTGTTTCAAGTTTTCCGTGTTTCAAGAGTGACACTCCGCATTCTTAAACCGTCACCACCGGACTTAAACGATCTCCTAATCTTTTAAAAAGGTTTATTTCGATTTCAAAGACCAGTCAAGCACTTGTGATTTTTAAGTTGTAAGTGTCAATGGGTGGAGGTAATTACTTGGTCACACGTTTGCTTATTTTTTCCCTGTAACATACGAATATTATAAAAGTTTATTTGCGGTATATTTCAATTTGAATTCTCTTGATATTCTATGTATATGTATAGGGGTGGCAACATGAACAGGTAACATGGGGTTCCCACACGGTTGGGGTCGTCTACTCGTCTGTAGATGACCCGAGGTATGTCGGGGCACCAGGGACTTCCTTTCTAGGGTATTCCTGGTTCCCCGGCTATTAGTGGCCGGCGACGGCGTGCGGTTTTAGTCGGTTCGAGTCCGACATGCCACCGACAGGTGGTATCCGAGGGGATTTCCGCACGGTAAAAAAAAAAAAAAAAAACAAAAAAAAAAGGGGTGGCAACATGAAATTTAAGTCTACAATAAACTTACAGTACAATGATATTGCCATTACATAAAAATCTTTTTGTGCTTAAACAAACCGCAGACTATAAACCAAAAACGAATAGCTGTACAAAGGATTTTATATTACGTCTTCATAAATAATAACCCGACAATTATATCGTTAAACCGCACCACTTTCGAATTTGTATAAAATGAAGGTAAATTTACACATCCCTGGTAGGAAATAAATGTTTTGTAAATCCCTCAGAAGATTCATTTTGTGTAAGGTTTGAGGAGAATCAACATTACCGGCGTAAGCGTTAGGTATATTTGGTATTTCTATAAGTATTTTTAGATAGATTAACGAAAATCAACTCAGGATTTAGCTGTTTTAGTATTACATTGGTACTAATTCGGTTGTTCGAAAACTCTCTAAACTAAAAATCACTAAAAATTAGTTTAGTCCTATCAAGTATTACGTTTTCATACGTTATTTGACAGAACCAAACAATTTTTTTGTGATTTTTAGTTTAGAGAGTTTTCGAACAACATAATTAGCATCATTGTCTTGATGTATACGTTCGTTTAAAAGTTTAGTAACAATCCAATGCAATTTTATTCAGTTCATCTTGTCAGACTCTCTACTCGTTCTTTTCACAGAGTTATATAGCTATGGTACACTTGATCTCTTTTTACGTGATATAACAGGTACAGCACAAAATACTTAACAACTTTTAACACAGGATAATAATATATTGATAAGTATACTACTGACTTTAGTCTATCGTCACCTTTAGTTCTTTTCAGATTCGTTTGTGTACGTTACCTTACATTTGTGCTCTCGTACCGGTACAATGCAAATAATCCAGCTCCAATAACTTCAAATATTTCAAATCTCTACTTATTTCGCACCTGCCATCACGAACATTTTCACACACCGTACCGCGATCTCGTTCAATTTCACAAACGTTCAGCTTCCCCCAATATTAGCCGCAGTCCCAACCGACAATGCTTTCTGATGGCTTCTTTTGATATTATATTCTTGGGAATTTCTTTGCAATTTCAAAGTCATGTTTTGTAAGGTATGATTTCGATATGATTTCGTGAAATCTAAAATACTGGTATTGTGCAGGAAACCAAGAAACTGTTTTGTAAATCAATCTTCAGTTTTATAGATATCCTGTAAACTAAGTTACAATACCTAATGTTTTTTAAACAACACACAAAATAACTTCTGCTTTTTGTGCTTTTACACCTTCCCAAAAATACTGTACAGTATAGCACCTGCCATCATCTCAAAAACCGACTCCATGCTACCATTAACTGCGAAGGTGCAGCTTAGGACGTATTCCTGGTAAATAATTGTATGAAGTGGTCAAATATATAAGGAGTTCTTGGCTCTTCATCGCAAAACGGTTAGTTTTGAAAGTCTTTGAGAGGAAAATTGTAAAAGTCTTCCTTTGACAAAAAATAATAGTGTGAGAGGAAAGGAAATGAGAAAACAGTAGCATTGACGGACCTGTTGGTCTAGTGGTTAGTGACCCTGACTGCTAAGCCGGAGGTCGTGGGTTCGATTCCCACCCAGGTCAAATAATTGTGTGATGAGCACGATGATTTGTTTTGTGTCTGGGTGTAACCTATCTATAATATGTATCTATTTAGAAATATATAAGTATGTTTATCAGCAGTCTACAAAAAAAAAAAATTTTTTTCTTGATACTAACAAAACTAATAAACTTGTAAATTAGCATTTTCTGTAAGAAATAAAAGGCTTTTTTATTTTTATTTTATTTATTATCAGCAGTCTGGTTACCATAGTACAGGCTCTGCCTAGTTTGGAAAGTTATTATTACTATCTCTATTTAAATTCCGAATAGCATATTGTAATATGTGCTTTGTCTATCACAAATCGACGAACAAACACGTAAAAAAATATCTCATTTATAATTAACAACCTTTGCTGCCCTGGAGATGCGACCTCGTCCGTAGAATTAATATAATGGCTGCCCCAACATTACACCTAATGGTTTCAGCTTAATCGTCTGGGATGGCTTAGCGTTGTGTGTTGAATACGGTAGGTAATGTGTCTATGTGAATACATTTCATATGTTGCATATTCTGTGTGTTCTGAATAACGTGACATTTGCTTCGCTGTTTAATGCAAAGCATAAATAATAATTAGAATAGAAGTGATAATAACTATATGACTGACTCAATGAACATGCAACTACGGCGAGCAGTGACCAATTGCTCATTTAAAAGTTGCCCGTAAACGTATATATTTTACGTCTGGGAACCCTTTGAGGCCGTCAACCCACCGGGGTTTGTGATGGGCGGTGTATCGGCATCGGACCGATTAAAACCACCCACCTCAAAGATAGGAGGGACCCGGCAACAGCTGTTATTAAGACTTCTTGACTATAAGTTCAAAAGATGAAAGCTAAATATTATATTAATTTCGATATTCTACTCTTTGAACAATAACAATATTGTTAACGCCGCTTTATTTTTGATTGCAAACAAGAAAGTTATAAAAAACATTGACGAAAATTGATGTTTTTAATATTAGAATCTTATTAAGAACGTATTTTTAATGTAAACTGTACGTCGTTTAGGACCTATTGTTTTTAAAGATTTTAGAGGTCATTTTAATAAGGACGTGAATGTTAGTTTATTTTAAAAACTCAAGGTACTTACTACGTAAGATTTGAGATAATAAACGTGTATTTTAATTTAATCTTTAATTCTCAACTACGAAACTAGAATTAAAAAAACTTGAAACAATGTATCTGGTACTTTCAATGACAAGAGTCAAAGTAACAGTTTATACATAATTATTGTATTCAGGTGTCTGCCTAGTGGTTAGTGACCCAGACTGCTAAGCCCAAGGTCGTGGGTTTGATTCCCACCCAGGACAAATAATTGTGCGTGTTCTGTATCTGGGTGTAATTTATCTATGATATACGAGTATTTGTGTATTTAGAAATATATAAGTATGTTTATCAGCAGTCTGGTAATAATAATACTGGCTCTGCCAAGATTAGGATCAGTCGGCCGTTTGCCATAAAAAAAATCATTGTTACCTGTTTCTTTCTTTTATTTCCTTTTTCCTCTACACATAATATATTCAAATATAAGCCTATATGTCAATCACTATTATCAATATTTTCTTTTTCACCAGGGATAAGTTGATGTCAACTCTGATCAAAGCCAACATTGTGTCAGTAACTCGTATGACTAAACTAGTCGTGCCCGCCATGGTGAAGAGAGAAAAAGGAGTTGTCATCAACATCGGGTCTGCCTCTTCAATTATTCCTAGTCCACTGCTTACTGTTTACGCAGCTACCAAGGTATGATAATCATAACATTGTTTTGTGTTTGTAACACAACCATTAGTGTCTTACTAATACAAAACTTCACAGAAGGCGCAACGATTCAAGAACTGTTTAACACTGCAACTATCGTAGATGTAGTAATTGAGTGCCTCGATGGCGCAGTGGTAGTTTATGCGACAGCTGTGCTGAGGTCTCGGGTTCGATTCCCGGGTCGGACCAAATGTTTGTAGGAAATGTAAATATTTGTTTCGGAGATTGGGTATTTTCTATGTTTAATATGTATCTATTTACAAGAAAAAAGTATATAAGTATTTTATCAGTCATTTTAGCTTTCATAGTACAAGCTCTGCTTAGTTTGAAACTAGATGGCATTGTGTGTCAGATGTCCGAAATATTAATATTATTATATTATATTATTTTAAATATTATTAAGTTAGGCTCCAAAATAAATACCAATAAAAGGAGTATTTTGGCATGTTCCCGAATTTGAGTTTGTACTTCATACACGGAACATGTGGAGTGATAATTAGCATTTAGTGGGATTTTTCTATAAAAAAAGTGGAATTAAGATTTTACTGTACTCTCAAACTTTACTCTACTTACAAATTTTACTCTACTCGCAAACTCCAAACCTATACGTTGTACGTATAATATCTTGTTACTTACCATCGTAGTAAGTCGCGTATAAAACTGTTGTCGTTGTTTATTGGCAAAATGACACTCCAATTGTTAAGTTTATAAATCTCTTAGATCCCAAAAATACACTGGACAGCAAATAAACCGAGCCACCCGCTACCTAGGCACTCTAATTCGATTTTCTCAAAAACTAAAAAACCTACAGTTAACAAAGTTGTAGCTACAGAAAGTGCGTTTCATGGTGATTAAAATGAAAGGAAACTCATTGGGTTTAATCAATATTTCAGTGTTTATTAAGGATTTTACAAAGAAGAGTCGTTTTCCAGTCGTGACAATCGTTAGTAATGATAAAGTGAAAAAAAAAAAATTAATGCCAAAAAACAAAGATAATATCAAAAAAAAGTTTTTGATCAATATTTCGTATTCCCTCCCCTTGCTCGGATAACTGCCAGCATCCTTGTATTCATCGACCTTACGAGCCTGACGATAAAATCTTGAGGAATTGTATTCCACTCCTCTTCAATTGCGATTCGCAGCTTCGAGCTGGCCAGTCCATCGTACGAATGCTGACGTCGCGTAGATACTGGGTCACCACATGAGCAATATGAGGCCGTGCATTATCATGCATCAATTGCATATCCTGTCCGATATATCCTGCGTAAGGTACCACATGGTCTGCGAGGATTTCAGTAATGTAGCGATGAGAAGTCAGTCCACGTGTACGGCCCGTCGGTTCGATGAAAACTAACGCTGTATGTGCTGTTAACGAGATGCCGCCCCAGACCATTACAGATCCTCCTCCATAAGCAACAGTTTCCTCGATGCAACACTGAGAATAACGTTCTCCAGGGCGACGATATACTCTCTGACATCGATCACTTCCATGTAGACTCACCCTGGTCTCATCAGTGAAGAGTACATTACTCCACTGTTCTAATGTCCAATCCCTATGCTCTCGAGCAAATTCAAGTCGTGCTCGACGGTGTGCTACCGTTAATGCTGGGCCTGTTGCAGCTCTTTTTGGGGTCAGGTTCCGTTCAGCAAGTCTCCTTCTGACGGTATCTGAACTTATGACCACTTGGCGTTCACGCAGACTTTGTTGGACTTGAACTGCGTTGAGGTGGCGTTTTCGCAGAACAGTAAGGTGGATATAACGATCATCTGCTGCTGATGTAGCCCTAGGTCTGCCCGTACCTGGACGGCGATCGAATGCTCCAGTCTCTAGGTATCGTCTGTAAACTCGTTGCACCGAAGATCTGCTGATTCGAGCGACTTCACGTTGCGCAATGCCTGCTTGAAGTAATGCTACAGCTTGAGCTGCTTCCTGAGGTGTTGTATCCATTATTAATCGAAAAAAGTGGCAAAAACACACGCGTCTGAGCAAACGATGGACAAAAACTAAAGAAATAATAATAATAAAATAAATAATAAAAAATGTTTATTACCATATAAGAAATACAACGTGACAACAGTGTCCTGTGGCCCCACACTAGGCAAGCCTGTCCTGTGGGTACCCAATTCAGTTTACACATTTAATTTTACATTGTTAGCTCGGACAACATTTTATCAGAGGTTCAACATTTAGATTAAGCTTACATTAAAACAATTTTATTAACTACATGCTAAGTTAATTATTGTTTGGTAAATACAAATAGATATTTATACAAAGCAAATGTGCGTTATGAGTAAGTATATAAGGTTCTATGTATGTTCATTTTAAGATTTGATGATGTGGATTAATTTATATATACATACATATACACACAGACACACACACATATATACATACACATACACATACATATACACATACATATACATACACATATACACACATATATATATATATATACATATACATATACATACATACACATACACACACATACACATGTATACATAATCAATGATTAATTTCAACATATAAAGTAAATAAGATAGGTGTATATAAGTGTGTACATAATATATGTATTACAATAAGGGTAACAAAATACTCTCTGTTGAGTCGTAGGATAGAGAGGTGAGCCACTTAAGTATTTTGATTTTTGCCTCTCTTACAGAACATTGTTTGATATCACACGCACTAGCTGCCTTGTTGTATATATAGTTGTCCTTAAACGGGGTAAATCGTCTAGCAAAGCTGGTTTTGATTTTGGGCACTGGTAATCTATATACACGAAGTGAAAGTAAGTCTGTGTATTCCTGCGAGGCAATTATTCTTCTGTGAACAGCAAGGACTGTTTTTAAAATGAATAGTTTGCGTACACTCAACACTTGACTTTCCTCGTACAGCTTTGTTGTTGGGTACCGAAATGGCTTCTTGTGCATCACTTTAAGTACCGAACGTTGCGCTCTTTCTGCTTGAATAAGCACTGTTTTTTGTGCACTACCCCAGGAGCCAATGCAGTATGTTATCAAGGACTGGCACAGAGCATAATATACTGTCTTTAAAATGTCTATCGTCGCGGATGACTGTAGTAACTTAAAAATGTTTGCAGTCTTGCGGATTCGAGATGAAAGCACGCTAATATGCTCCTTAAAGTTTAAATTTTGGTCAATCATCACACCAAGATATTTAATAGTATCTGTTTTGGTCAGTTCAATACATTTACACAATTGATTTAACTCTGAACAGTCGTGCAGTTTTATGTTAAGGTTTTGGTTAGGAGCAGAGGCTTTAGTTTTGTGAAAACATAAGTACTTGGTTTTCTTTGTATTCAAGGTAAGTAAATTTTGTTGCAACCACATAGTTACCCTTCGCATTCCGTTCTCTGCCTTCGAGGACACACCCTGCCAAGAAGAATCATGATATAAAATTACAGTATCGTCCGCATAGCAAATTACCTCCGCGTCGACACTGTCATGTATATCGTTTATATACATGATGAATAATGTGGGGCCCAAAATGCTGCCCTGAGGTACACCGAAATTGGATGGTCGCAAGTCACTTCTATCACCGCCAACCTTAACACACTGTTGCCTATTTGTAAGATAACTCTTAAACCAGTTTAATGCTATGCCTCTAATTCCAAAATTGTTTTCCAACTTTCTCACTAATATCGGGATCGACACGGTGTCGAAGGCTTTCGCTAGATCGAGAAAGACACCTAGAGTTGCCTTGTTTTTATCAAGATGGTCTGATACTATAGACGTCAAAAGAATAACAGCTTCTTCGGTCGACTTGCCCCTTCTAAATCCAAATTGTCGCTTAGAGATCATATTATAGGATTCAATGTACTTTACAAGTCTTTTGTTTACGGCTTTCTCCAAGAGCTTCGAAAAAACCGGGAGAAGAGAGATTGGCCGATAGTTTTCCACATGTTCCTTCTTTCCTCCCTTGTGGATGGGCGATATAGATGCTATTTTCCAGGTATCCGGAAAGATCCCCTGCTCTAGACTCGAATTAAATATTGAGGTGAGAGGTTGTAAAATGGCGACTTTAATATCTTTTAAAAAGACATTTGTAAGCCCATCAATACCCGGTGCCTTATCATTTTGTAGAGAAAGTATTAGTGATTCTACTTCGCATTCATCAATCGGCTGCAAGAAGAAAGAATTAAGAATTCGCATACTCTTAATTTTTTCAGCCAATCCATCCTGACTAATGTGCAGTTTGTTTAAAATATTGTCGGCCAGTTTCTCCCCATTAGTAGAGAAGTAGGTGTTACAGGTGTTTAGAGAGTCTTTTGCGCTTATACTACCCCTAAGTTCAAGAAGTTCTGTAGGTTCCTTTTTGTTTTTTTCTGGATGGCATACAGTTTTTATGGTGAAAATGATAAGAAATATCCGACTACCCTCATTGTAGAGAAAAAGAACGCTAATTTCAAACTCTGGTGAAAACAGAGCAAATCCTTAGCATTGTGTTTGTTGCTTGATTACAATGTGAGTTGACGGTACTTTCAAATTAATTTTTAGTCATTTTAATTACCATGAAACGCACTTTTTGTAAGTTTTATACTTTTTGAGAAAATCTAATCAGAGTTCCTAGGTAGCGGGTGGCTCGGTTTATTTGCTGACCAGTGTACTTTAGTAACAGGTATCAAAAGATATTATAATTAAAAAAGATGTATACTAAATATAAAAAATACAATAATAAAACTTACTCTAAGAGCTGTATGTGAAGTTAATAAATAGCTCCTGTAAGACCTTTCACCTCAACTATGTTGAGGATAAACTCAAATAAGGAAAAGTAACAATATTTCATTCCTTGTCTCTCAGGACCTAACAACCTGTCGAGCCAATATAAAACTCGTCTGTCACTTTTACTTGTTTCAAAAGAAATGTGAATTCATAGGACGGGTTTATTTTATTATAAACATTATGAAGTTTGAACTATTTTAGAATGATAGAAACACTTTCTATCGTGTTTTTTTTTAAACTCCTAGTACTAGCTTACAATAGTAGACTGAATATGGAAGACAAGAGATTAAAAAAAATAAAAATAATAATCATATCAGTCTGTGAAAAGCGTAAAAGAATTGCTTGACACCGGCATAGGTGTAATGTCTAATAGTGAGTCAACTTAGCTACTTAGAGGAGCAAAGTTGGGGCGCGGTATTAAGGAGAGCGGAGTCCCCCTCCTTCCCGCGACGTCTGCGGTAGTACTACCCGGCTTCGCTTGCCAACCGGTACCCCCGTTTAGGAGTGTCACATAGATCAGCTGCACGCGTTTGGTGCAACACAACATTGCTCTCGATATTTTTACGATAAAAAAACAAAAGAATGTATTTTTTGAGATGGGAAAAAACCATTGAACTGTTACCGTTACTGTTTCCGTTACCGACACCTCTGTATATAGTGTCTACCTACATATATTGACCCCGTTTACACGAGAGTTGAGTTTTGGTTAAAATACATTGATAATATAACTATATATAATATAAATATATATTGTGTATATACGTACAACATTTATTATTATATCCATGTCGGAACTTTTCGAATCGAAAAACCAAAAGGATTTATAGTTATAATATTTAAAACAAAAAGTTTTCGCTTCTGTCGGCAGTCTCGGAGTGCCACTGTTTTTTATTATTATGATTGATTGACTCACAGTAGTACTCTTTACTTTATTAATAATAAAATATAAGGGTAAGAGCGTATAATAAAATAAAACTCTCGAAGTTATTGGTTGTTTAATATACATTTACGTATAATTATAAAAATACTTATATTACTGTTTTAAGTATATATTAATTAAATACATTTATTACTATTATTTATTAATAAATTAATAATAATATTTAATTTAAATTAAATTTAATTAATTAATATAATTTAGATTAATTAATAATAATAATAATATTTATTAATTAAATACATATAATACATAAACTAAATTAATTACATATAATTACATTATTATCGCGGTAGAAAAAAACGAAATAAAATATTGTCCAATTTTAACATGTTTTATATAATTTATTCATCCTTTTATTAAATCTTTTAAACGGAATAGGAACCCGAACTACTGCTATATAAGTAAAATATAGTTAAATTCGGCAAGTACTATTTTTATTTGACTGCCTTGGTGGTGTAGTGGCAGTTGCTGCTGTACTAAGGTCTCAGGTTTGATTCCGGGGTCGGACCAAATGTTTGTATGATCTGCAAATATTTGTTTCGAAGCTTGTTCTGGTGTTTTATATGTACAATATGTATTTATTTACAAAGTATATAAGTAATCTATCAGTCAATCTAGCTTTATAGTACAAGCTCTGCTTAATTTGAAATTAGGTACCGTTGTGTTTCAGATGTCCGAAAATATTATTCTTTATTCCATTAAATAATATACATATAAATTACATTTTAAATAAGTTTAGGTACAAAAAGAAATTATATTTAAAAATTTAAAAAATAATGTCCCACCGGATCCGGGTTCATTGACCCAGATATCGGTGGTTAGGACTCCAGAGACAGAAACCTCACAATACGTGCCGTACCGAGAAGAACTGCCTTCTACATCAGGCCCTTGATCCAACTACCTAACGCGAGCATCTGAAGATGTTGGTCGAGGATCTTAACAATTAATTAATTATTATCCAGCTGTCACCTACACATTTTTAGATGTTTAGCGGTCTATCAAAGGAGTTGACTCACTATTAATATTTATTACACGTATGACTCCTGTTTTCTATGAGTCCGTGATAACACTGGTCGGGCCCGGTGCATTTGCGTCGAGGCACGACTCTCCCATTTTTATTATTTATTTATGATTAATAAATTAATTTCTTTTCACATTTAATTGAATTTGCGCTTATGAACAATGTAACTAATAGCTTCCATCTATCTTTATTTATTTTCGAAAAAAGAGTGTTTATGTAGTTTATTCCCTATATTTCTTCACAGTATCTATGTAAGCTGAGCTAGTCTGATTAACAATCATTACAATTCAGAAATACCCATAATTTTTTGATATAAATAAATTCTAATTTAAAGATTTGTTTTGGTATTCTTCTTCATTGTGCCCACTGTTAAATACATATTAATTCATTTGAGACTGTAATGATATGATTTAGAAAAAGGGTTCTTAAATAACTGCTTGAAAATCAAGTAAGTTATTAGATTTAACGGTATTTATTACGAGATAAATATTTACCCACCAATTCTTGTCCTCAGGCCTACGTAGAGAAATTCTCCGAGGGCATTGAAATGGAATACTCAAAAAAGGGAATTATTGTGCAATGCGTTTTACCTGGATTTGTGTGCTCGAACATGTCTGGAATCCGCCGTAGCTCATTGTTTGCCCCAACTGCAGAGCAATTCGTCAAATCTGCCATCAATTTAGTAGGAACTATGAGGAAAACTACGGGCTACTTGCCCCACACTTTCTTCGTGAACGTAATCAACGCTATCGGGTGCATCTCATACACTTCCTGCGTGTGGATGGTCACGAGGTCCATGGAGAACAGTCGCCGAAAAGTCCTCAAGAAGTATAATAAGAGTCAATAAATTTTCACTGCTTTTTACCATTTGCTTTGCTATAACACTGGGTTTGGCTGGTCTGAGGCTGTTTTGCCTTGGGAGTGCAAGTAAAATAAAAAATATATTTCAATAAATTGTAAATACATTGGTCCATTATTAATATATTTTGAGTTAAATCACACTGGATAATGACAACCAAGTAAAAAAACTACGTAAACCTTCTAAAACTTTAGTCAATCTGTGATTTTGCTATGCGTTTTAATTTGAACGTTTTTTTAAACTGCATTGAAAACCAAAGATATTTAAAATGTAATGTTTCAATTACACACCATTAAGTTTAACCGCTAGTAATATTCTGTCTTTCTCATGGATGCGAACAATGAAGACAGAAGATATTGTTAGGGTTTTATTCTTTTAACTTGGATTTATTAGTGTTAAGATAAAACACTTACTAAGTCATATGGTGCAATAAGATTGTACAATTATGTGATTAAATGTTACCAATCTAATTCATAAATATGACATCGACTCTTGCCATAAGAGTAAAAATTACTAGTACTATAAATGTCGTAAGTGGAAGCTCTAGTTGGGCTTACTATGCTCTCAGATCGTAACAAGCCTTAGGCGATGGTTGTCTTGCTACGGTCTTGAGAAAACTTTAACCTGTACTATAGTTAGATATGTAATTATAGACTGGGTTTTCAATAAATATGGATTCTAATAAATTCGCATATAATTACAAATGTGTTTGATTAACCTTTGGTGTTGGTATTTTATGAATTGTAAATAGTGTATATTACACAGTGTAAATAATTTAAAGTACATATTCAACGGAGGTCCTGTGTTGTTCTGCAGCATTACGAGAGACTTTAAATCAGAATGAACGGCGTAATACTATAAGAACCGAAGATATTGTAGAGAATGAAAACTAGGAGGATAAGGGGGGTTTGGAAGACCGTTGTATTACTCCAATCCGATGGCATTTCTACAGTGTAACTGAAAATATTTTTTCTTAATTAACCTATTTGAGATTTATCTTTATCTTGTCCTTGTGGTAACGGATTGAGAATACGGAGTGGCGCCACCCTTATTCGTCCTGTGTCTGTCATAAGAGCCGACTAAGGGAGCAAACTACGCAGGACAAGGACAGCACTGCAAAGAGAAGAAAACCTTGACAAATCCCGCGTGGTATAGTAGCCCAAAAAATCCTTTCTAAAGGAGGCCTCCCTTGATCAGCAGTGGACTATTAAAAGCACATGAAGATGATAGTTATCTGTATTTTTTCGGGCAAGGCCAGGCCTTAGGCCATCATGAAGTGACATTAGAAAATCCTCTTATAGGCTAATTGTGTGACTGCACGGATGGCGTAGTGATTTAAGCGGTCGCCATGCCACTTACTACTACGCTTAGTGTTGTGGGTTCGATTCGATCGAGGCTTTGAGTGATCCACGAATTGCTGTTCTGAGTCTGAGTGTTCTTTGTGTCCGTTTCATGTATGTATGTAAAGTCCCCCGCATTACAGGATATATTCCTAATGCAGGAGTTGTCTTTTTAAAGAGAAAAAATTATATGCAAAAGACATACAGAAAGACAGACTTAAAAGAAAGCACTATTTGTTTCAAGTATGCTACTGACAATCAACGGTACTCTCTGTCTGTCTGTCTCATCACTCGTTTTGGCTGATGAAGACGAAGCTAATATAACTAACCAAAATCTGCCTATTTTTATGAGGCGTTTTAGGTTCAATTTTAGTCATTTTTTTATGTCGTTTACATCTTTATGATTTTGTAAAACATGATAAAACTTGAATACATAAAATCTCTTGCAAATGGGCCTCTTTCGTAAGTATTAAGTTTTAGAACTACGCTATCAAATAAAAATACCAATAAATTATTCATAGACAGTAAATATATATCTATCTATCCACTGTAAATATGTAAAGTTATTTCCAGATATAATCCGCCAAGTTGGTGATACTGCTAACTATGTAAATTTGTAAAAATACTTCAACTACAATCTGTAGGAATCTCAAAGAACGGTGAGTTTGTGGTGATGGGTTATTACATTTTATTCTAATTTTTCCATGAAATTATGGATCTCCAATAAAGTAAAAATAATTATTATATCGCTGGTAGAAAGTAATTATTAATTATAGAATGTTCTAGCGTATAAAGTTTCGTGTCTGTACTATTTATTGTTAAGAAATCCCATCGTTTGGGACTAATCCTAGGCGCATAATAAGCCCATGCTTACAAAAAAAACGATGCATTGGCATCAAAACTGTATCCTTGTTCAATGATGATTAGCTTTAATATGAATATATAATGAAATATGTGGTAATTCGTTAATTAACAATTACTTTTGTGTATTCCCACGTCATGAGTCTGGTAAATGTAGTGAAACAGATTTTAAAACGGAGATAATTTTAATATTTTTTTATTTTACAGGAAAGAAAAGCTGGAAGCCTGAGGACTTCAGATATATAGGAAAATTATCTAACACCGCTATAAGTTTCATCACATCACATCATCAACATCTTTTAATAGTCCACTGCTGACATAGGCCTCTCCTTAGAAAGGGGGTTTTGGCCGACTATACCACGCTAACCAGATGGTTTGGTATAGGGTTTGTGTCAAGTTTTCCTTCTTTTTGCAGTGCTGGTGTCCTGCGTGGTTTTGCGCCCTTAGTCGGCTCTTACTACACCCACGGGATGAATTGGGGTAGTGACATTCCATATTCTTAATCCGCCACAACGGACAATAGCTATAAGTTTACTAAATTAATTTTGTTATTTTTATTAAATATGAAATCAACAAGTTAAATAATTTGATTTTCATTTCAAACCTTTTACTTTCGACCTTTAAATTTTATCTGTCAGTTCCGAAAAAACTTAAATGCTGTCAAGAATCAGTTAAACGTTTTTACAGTACATCAAAAATGTCCAAATAAATTACAAATTAACAGTGCAATATAAACTTAAAATTCATTCAGAGGATGTGTCATGATCAAATTATGGATCAGACTTTAAATGTCTCCCGTCCTAGACTCTAAGCATGGGAAGAACTAAAGCTGCTGACTGTGGACTCACATTCAACTTGAATCAACTCCTAATGGTGGTAGGTTCTCTAGTGATACTCGTCCTACTTTTTCTAGTTGTGTGCCACATCACATCTTCGAGGTGAAGTATGGGGAAGACTCTTAATCAGTGTTACACTATCGATTTGCTACAAGTTCTACTAATTGCGTTTGCCTTCGTCACTCTACTGATCGTATTGAATTGGATGTGCAAATATTTCCGCCAAACATCTTGTTGAAATGGGTGCAAAAGATCCGTGTGCTCTTACGGTGAGTCTCAGCCAAATACTAACTATTGTTGGATCCTTTGCGATTTTAATCGTTCTCTTTATGTTCCTGTGCAACATTATTTCAAGTAAAACGTGAATTAATAAAAGCAAGATTATGACAAAGCACCTTGATACTGGAATCAACGTAACAAGCATCGTTAAAGTAATATTTTCATTCATGTTGTGGATTATAGTCATGAAATGGATGGGCGACTACCTTGTGTCATTACCACCGTGATTAATCCTACAATTTAAAAGAAAACCAAGAATTCTTAACGTGTTGTTGATATTGTAAATATATTAAGATATCACACTATTTATGCCGCATGTTTTAATATTTAAACACAATTTATAAACTAAAAATGCCTTTTTATTTCTTAAGTGCTTGCAATTTTGACAATTATATATAGAAACTTTATAAAAATAACTTTAAAATTAGGCAAATTAAAATTATTTATTTCCAAAATAAGCGCAGTAAAGCTACATATACTTGTATTTAGCCTTCAACGATGAAATGATAATAAAACGCTATGCGTTTCTATCATCAATTCATAATACTAGCATTGATACATAATATCGGTAGTCCTAATCCCGGTCCTTCTCCCCTAGAGGCTTCCCAATCACAGGTCCAACAATCCGGCCTCTTCGAGCTTTTGCAGTTCTTTGCTATTCCGTTGTTCCCAAAACCGATATCCTCATAGATCTCTCGCTGTATCCATTTGCCCACTTTACCTAATTTGAAAACGATTGCTTCCTAAAGCAGGGCTGCCATCAGTCAGGTAGCCGCCTGACTGACGTCCACCCAGTCTTGAATGAAACCAGCTAAAACATTTTGCAATGTCACATATTGCGTCAATCTTATTTAAAATTGAAACAAGCTAATTATAGAAAAAATACACAAAAAACCCGACTTCGCGCAAATGTAGATATATGTACTTACAATATCCAAGCCATTTAGGCCGCAGAGCGTGCCTACATACATACACTCAACTTTCTCGCGCAGTCGGTTAAAGGGGTCGAGAAATGATGACAAGACTGCTGCTCATAAAAACTGAATCAAACCCTATACCAACCCGTCTAGCCAGCGTGGTATACTCGTTGTAGGCCAAAACCTCCTTTCTCAGGAGAGGCCTATGTCCAGCAGTGGACTATTAAAGGCTGTTGATGATGATGATACATCACTATACGTTGTAATAGCAAGTACATTAATGTGTTAATTTATTCTACATACAAAGGTCAAGTTACCTTACTTGGCATAAATCTTATATTAAAATACCGTAGACAATATTTTTAATAATGAATTTTATAAAATTGAAAATAAATGAATGTGACTCTCAAATAACATTTTAAAGATTAGAAAAGCTAATTATCTTCTAATGAATGAATAGATTTTTTAAATGATAGCTAAGAACAGTCCTCCATAAAGTCACTTTACAAAAACAAAATTAAAATCTGTTTATCCTTTTTCGAGCTATGGTACCTAAGAGAGATACGCAGTACTACAGGGACACACGCCATACTTCCAATACCTTGCAATTTTTCGCTTGTGACAATATGTTGTTTACTTCGATAGCATACGCTAACCACTGGACCACAGAGGCAGTCTTTTATACAGGGCCCGGAATAGGACCTTAGGAGCTGACCTTTAGAGGTCAATTTTGCGTACTGAAGGTCATATCCAATTGTAATTTTTTCCTTTTTTCAATTCCGGGCTCAAAAATATGCAATCCCATTCGAAAATTGCCCTTGACCCTTGAGATAACCTTCAAAGTTGTGGTCAAGGTCAATTTCAAGGTAACCATTGGATAGTCAGGAAAAATTCCTCTAACTTTTGCATTGAACGTGTTTCCGACAAATGCATTCCTAGCTAATTATTCTTCTCTTCCAGCACTTCTCTAACACCCTTCATGTGTTCCGTACAATATTTTTTGGCATCTGTTTTATTTCACATGAATTTATTTTTTGAATAAAGGTATTTTACACTAAATGTTCCATAGTAAAAGACATAACTAAAATATAAATAAGATAAGGGCGCTTTGCTATTTCATATTACCTATATAAAAATTTAATTTATAATGTCTAATTAGTTAGACAGGTCAGAATACTGGAACCCCATATTGTAATGTAGCCGTTTTTAGGGTTCCGTACTCAAGGGGTAAAACAGGACCCTATTACCAAAACTCCGCTAACCGTCCGTCCGTCTGTCTGTCTGTATGTCCGTCTGCAACCAGGCTGTATCTCATGAACCGTGATAGTTAGACAGTTTAAATTTTCACGTATAATGTATTTCTGTTGCCGACATAACAAGAACTACTAAAAACAGAATAAAATAAATATTTAAGTGGGGCTCCCATACAACAGACATGATGTTTTTGCCGTTTTTTTTAGATAATGGTACGGAACCCTTCGTGCGCGAGTCCGACTCGCACTTGGCCGCTTTTTTACATTATTTTTAACATCGTACCACATTTTGTTTGAAAATTAGCTTTATGCTCTATTTTTATATAAAATATTAAATATTCCAAACATAGTATGCCCCGGTGCAGCATATACGCTTAAAGCCAATTTTACAATATTTTTTTCTTACGTTTACCTAATATTTATCTACTTACATATTTTTTTTAGCACAGTTGTTTAAAATCAACTCTGATATGTCCCTGCGTACCTCATTCTATCAAACAAGTGCTGACTCATCAAACATTATTTCCTTCACTGTTTTAATCGCCTTTTTCTTACGAATATTAAGTGGACAGCCAAATCTATTTCTGTCACAAACAGTGAAGGTGACATTGTCTCTATCGCTAGCCCGGTACACAAACATTTGACTAATACCAAGCGGATGTAGAGTTTCAAAAATTGCATTTGGATCCATACCTACTTTGTGTAATGCTATCACAGCAATTCTGATCTCTAAATCACCCAACTTCCTTTTAATATCACACAATTTTCAACATCGATTAGCGCTAAAATGAGAAAACACAATGAATGTTCATATAAGAATTACAGATACCAGAGTGTACTCCAGAACACCGGGAATATGTGCCTTACCTTGCCCCAGATGCATGTACTTTTCATTCTTACCGCAGTAATCAAGCAAGCGATCCATTTGCCTGATCACGGGGTAACAATCGGTTCTAGGACGTGAGCGTAATGATGCCTCTATGCGACTGTTTTGTTTTACAGCAAAAGAAAAACGTTATGTAGGTCAACGCTTTTGTTGTTTTATTTTCTGGCAAATGAAACCTACCCGAACAGGTAATTCGAAAGTGTGTAATACCTTTTGTGAAACGCACATTCCTGTTAACCTCATTTCGTTAAACTAGCTTTATCCACGCTTTTGGCTTATTGTGGTTACATTGAAGAGAAATCACGTAAAAAAATTATTTAAAACGGTTTGTATCTCATGACAAAATTTTGAGTTTTTGAAGCGTACACAAACCAACTTAAAATTTCTTATATCCCATTTTTTTTAAGGCAGCTCCCGCCTTAAGAAGATGCATCCTGTGTTGTGGGGGACTTTACAAACACACACAAATTAGTGTCCCACAAAACTCAGCGCAGTAGGAAGTAACGTGGTGATCGCGATATACCTAAAATTTGTATATAGTAACCCTGGTCAGCGTTTTATAATAGGCCAAACCCTCATTTCTAAGGAGAAGCGTGTACATACGTCTATCCTTAGAAAGCTCCTTAGCAGTGGATTACTAAAGGCTATTGATGTGATGATGATATGAGACATAATATTCTCATCACTTTTCCGACTGTTTGTTAGATATTCTAAATTTAAAACTAAAATCAAAAATTTATTCAAAGACAATTTTAAACACATTGCACATTATATAAATGACTCAGTGACGTACGTCTATAGTTTTTTAGCCAGTTCCTTAGTCTATAAATATAGAAGAATTGACCGTGATACAAGCCGGTTTCTTATTAACACTGTGATTAACAGAAAATAATAATTCAAATGATTTGATTTTTTTATTTAAAATTATCTATGATATTGATTTTTTCAAATCATGTTTATGGAGGTTAGTAAATGCTTAAAATAGTCGCAGCCCCAGAGTCATGAAAATTAGGGAAAGTGGTGATCGTTGCCATCAAGGCGAAATTTTGCCTTAAAAT